TTAGTTATCTGGAGATTGGATTTATACCCTGCCCTTCACTACCCGAAGGAGTCTCAGAGTGGCTTACAATCTCCTTTCTTTCCCCCCTCCCCTCCCCACAACAGACACCCTGTGAGGTAGGTGGGGCTGAGAGAGCTCTTTGAGAACTGCTCTTGAGTGAACAGCTCTGAGAGAACTATGACTGACCCAAGGTCACGCCAGCAGCTGCATGTGGAGGAGTGGGGAATCAAACCCGGTTCTCCCAGATTAGAGTCTGCGCTCCTAACCACTACACTACAGCAGGAGATTTCCAGGTACTACCTGGAGGCTGGCAACACTAGTACATACCATGACATTTTCAGGGACGGCCAGGGTGTCACAACTGGGGTTTTGGGCAGACATGATGTCATGAGTCACACAATGCATTTCTGCCCCTGGTCTTTTTTCTAGCAGGTCTGGGGCACAGGGACAGGAGGTTGAGTTCATCAACTGGAGTCTTCCTGCCAGAAACTGGCAACTGGTAAGCTTATGGGCAGTGCACATTTCCCACACCATGAGTGACTCAGAGGGTCCAGGCCAAGTACTGGGGGCTGAGGAAAGGGAGCCCAGCCCCCCCCTCCGGCCATTGACTCACCAGGAAAAGTCCTGAGGGCTCTAATGGCCAACCAGCCCCTCCAGTGAAGTAATAGTTTAGGTCTTCTCATTTTTAGTATTTGTGAGAAAACAAAACCTTACGTTTTGAGATCCCCGGGCCTGAAATTTTAGAGGGAGTATCCCTAGGGTGTAGGGTAAAATCCTTGAGAATTTCTTTCAGATTGAAACCAAGGTAAACTACAAATAGCTTTATGGCTACCTTTATATCTGATATGCAAGAATCAAGAGTCCAGTTTTAACACACCACTTCTGTCTCTGAATCTTACTGTTTTTGCACTTTCACACCCAAATGTGACAGTGGCATAGAACACAGCACTGTGGGACAGAGAGGCATCAACCCAGCACAACAACTACTCAGTTTTATAGGGCTGCCAGCTCAGGGTTGGGAAAATTCCTGGATATCTGGGGGTGTGTGGAGCCTGGGGAAGGGGCGAAGGGGGGAAGAAGAAGAAGAAGAAGAAGAGATTAACCACTACACCAAACTGGAGGGGAGGGACCTCAATGGGGGTATAATGCCATAGAGTCCACCTTCCATAGCAGCCATTTTCTACAGGGAAACTAATCTCTATAACCTGGAGACTATTAGTAATTTTGGGAGACCTCCAGGCACCACCTGGAGACTGGCAACCCTACCAATTTAGGATGTATACAGACAGACATAAGAACATAAGAACATAGGAACATAAGAGACGCCAATGTTGGATCAGGCCAAAGGCCCATCCAGTCCAACACTCTGTGTCACACAGTGGCCAGAAATACCAGTGCCATCAGGAGGTCCAGCAGTGGGGCCAGGACATTAGAAGCCCTCCCACTGTTGACCCCCCCCCAAGCACCAAGAAGACAGAGCATCACTTGCCCCAGAGCCCCTATCTATACCTTGTGGCTAATAGCCACTGATGGACCTCTGCTCCATATGCTTATCTAATTCCCTTTTGAAGCCGTCCATGCTTGTAGCCGCCACCACTTCCTGTGGCAGTGAATTCCAAGTGTTAATCACTCTTTGGGTGAAGAAGTACTTCCTTTTATCCGTTCTAACCCGACCGCTCTGCAGTTTCATGGAGTGCCCACGAGTTCTTGTATTGTGAGAAAGGGAGAAAAGTACCTCTTTCTCTAACTGCTCTTTCCCATGCATAATCTTATAAACCTCGATCATGTCACCCCTCAGTCGTCTTTTCTCCAAGCTAAAGAGCCCTAAGCTCTTTCCTCCAGGCATCAAGAGTATTTCCCTGCTGTGGGCTGACCTCTGTTTTTCTCCTCTCTCTACTTCTTCCTCCACACATACCTAGCTCCAACTTCAGTGTGGATTTTCATTTTCCCCCTTGTCCTTTTTCATGGAGACTCTGGGTGAAGGGGAAGTGGCTTTATGACTGCCTCCAGGATCAGCCAATGATTAGCAAGATACTGAACTAGGAAGGGAAGAGCAACTTTGTAATTTTCACAGGGGCTAGTCAATTAGAGCCAGCCTCTCCCAGAAATGGGAAGAACCAGTTGCTCCTGCTGAGCTCAATTCACTTTGGAAGTTTGTATGTGTGCCTCAAGAAGGTATTACTGTGGCTCCATGTTTAAGGTATGTATGCCTGACTGTACCTTTAAAAACATCAGTTCACACATATCAGGTGACTGGGTTCCTTCCTCTCTCTGTCCCACCTCATTCTTGAGTTGGCACTAAGGTGACAATGGCATATTTCCCAGGCTTTAAATCTGATATTAATGTAACACAAATATAATAAGACTTAGCATTTATAGTACAATCTTTTAGCATTTTTGGCTGAAAAATTATTTTTAACCCTTTTTATAAAACTATACTTAATACATGTTGTGAATGCTTTGATGTATCTTAATCTTTATGCTTTTGCTTTTTTGTTGTTGTTGGAGAAGGTCACAGTTTGTCTTACCATTTGTTTCCTTAGCAGTTTGAAAAACCTCAACCAGAACAGTGGAAGAGGGAAAACTATGTCACCGGATACAATGAATATTGTTCAAAATGAAGACAGTGGATTGACATGGGAAACCAGTTCAAGCCGATGTTCCACATCCCAAGCCTCAGAAACTAGTGCCACATCTGGTGTTTATAGTATGGACAACTCATACCTGGATTCTCCTCCAGGGCGACTCATGGATGAAGGAAAGACAGCACAGAAAACAAGTAGCTCACTAGATCAGATGCCGCCATTTCCAAACCAGAATACAGGCATGGAGAGTAAAAGAGAAAAGTTTTCTGTAGGGAACACGCAAGTAACAGCTGAAACAAGAGAGCTAGATCCTGCCAATCCACATTCATGGCCGTTTCAAGTACAACCATCGAAGATTAAAGACTATCTAATACAAATCACGCAGGAAGTGGAGAGTCCAGTGCCAGAAGAAAAAGATAATGCCTTGAAAAAAAAGGGTGAGCTCCCACTCAAAGGGACAGTAAGAGCGCGGATTGAGCAGATCACTGCAGTGTTGGAAGAGAGAAATAAAAAGATTTTCAGGCGGGTGAATGGAAAAGATTTGCCTTCAGGTGGCACCAGGAAGCCAAACGAACAACCAAAAATATTCTCCAGGCAAGGCATTTCGGTATCTTTAAGGCATATTGAAAGAGACACCAGGGATAAGAATAACAAGAAGGAAATTATACGCTATAATCTCAAACCTGTGCAGACAAACCTTTCAAAGTCTGGTGTGTCGGCTCCCTATAAAAAAGACGAGAGGAAAACGAGAAAGTCTGTTCTGCCAGAAACTCTAAATAAGGCTTCAGAGAAACCATCAACTATTCTGTCGTCCATTTCTGGTAAAGCAAATAAGCTGGACAATGGATCCTATCCACCTGTCACCCAAACATCACTGTCAGAACGTGCAAAGTTTGTTCCACCAGATGATCAGGACGAAGTGGAGAAAAAAGCAAAGCAGTCTTTTCTCCCCGAGGCAACCAATGTCACATCAAAAAAGTCATCCAACCTCATTGATGAAACAGGGAAGCAGACGATGGAGCAACATTTACCAGGGGCTACAGAAGTTCCTCATAACTCAGAAGCACCAAGGTCCACACCAGAGAGGCAAACAGCTCAGCTGTGCTCACCTGTTTCTGCTGGACCACTTTCTTACTCTGCTAATGAAGAGGAGAACCAGACCAAATCAACTGCAGTTGTGCTATCAGAATCTGCAGCTCGGGATGTACAGGGCCCAAATATTATGAGATCTGAAACTGTCCAGCATGAACATGAACGCTCTCTTCCAGCTGAAACTGCAAGCCAAGATACTGAACTGCGTCCTTCAAAACTGGAGAGCAAAGATTCGGCTGTGTTGCATTCTGCTGAAGAAAATGGGGAGCAAATAATTCCTCCTCATTCACCTGCAGAGTCACTGCCTGAAGAGGCAGAAGCACCACATTCTGTTATGGAAACAGAAAAGCGAGAAATGAGGCAGTCAGAGGTGGAATATTTAAAGAAAGAAGATGCACAGAAACAAGCAACTACAGTGTTACAAACAGAGCAGGATCACCTGCCTGTGCTGCCTTCAGCAGAAGAATCAGAGACTAGAGAGGCTGAGACGGAACCTGTTTTGTCTTCCACTAATCACAGAACAGAAATACAGCAATGCCCAAGTGTAGAAGAGCATTTTGGACTTCCACAGCTCTCGCAACTGATGGGTAAAGCTGAGAAAGAAGAAAAAGATCATTTGGAATTTAATTTTGAAAAGCAGGGTGTTCAGACACAAGCAGCTGTCACCGCATTATTAGAGCCAGGATTTCAAGAAGTGTCTTATTTGGGAGATAAAGCAGAGAATCAGACAAAAGAGCTAGAACTTCAACATCTAGACTCGTCACTCCCCATTCCCACAGCACAAAGAGAAGAAGTTCACCGACACTCTGTAGCAATAGTACAGTCGGGAAGTGAAGAGCCAGTTATTTCTGAACCTATAAAGTCTCTGCAGGGATCAGGGCATATAAAACCATCACATCTCAGAGACACAGAAGCAGCTTCACACTCGCCTACTGAAATACTCAAGGAGACTTCAGATCAACTACCTTCTATTTCATCTCTTCCAACTGACAATGTAGAAAAGCAGGGAACTCAGCCATCCTCACTAGAAACTGCAATACCTCAGTCAGAACAGCCAAACTCTATTTTACCATACACTGCTGAACAGATGGAGAAACACGACAGTCTTCTGTGTTCTCCTGAGAAAGCAATTTCGATCTCAGAAATGCTGCTTCCCACTGTGGCTGTCCAAAATGCTGACAGGACAAAATTAGAAATTCAGCCAGACTCAACCACAAAAGCTCCCTCTGAAGAATTAGTGTCTATTTCAAGAGCGTCTGCTGTTGCTGAAGAGAAGACAATCTGGCCTGATTTTCCTCTGTCT